TCTGCAGTAAATCAAGGAAATGTTACCTCCATGGAAAAACAGGTGGGAGGGGAAAAAGGCATTACTGATAGAGGAACAGTGATTTCAATAGAAACATGTATCCCATTAAAAATCATAGCTGTGAGAAGATGGTGGAATATATTTTATGCTGGAAAAATTGATGTTCATATTTCCACACAGAAATCCATATCAGATAACATATCCTGTAGGAATGAGGCAATAGAGATATAATCTCATACGAAAGAAGCTAAGAATCTGTCACATTAGACAATTAAAATCATGACTATAACATTGTCTTATGGGTTTTTTTTTTTAAGATTTTTTTTTTAAAGATTTATTTGTTTATTTGTACAAGCACTGGGTACAGTCAGAAGCGCAGGAGGGTGAGAGAATTCACCAGAGCCAGAGCGGGGAACAGAATAGGCAGACTGACGAAATACACTGCTAAGGGGAGCAGTGGATGCAGCAGGAGAGGTCTGTCGCGCCATGTGGGACTCTTGCCGGCGCCCAGGGATTGAACAGGCGCTTCAGTGGCTGTGGGCAGCTTCGCAGCCCAGTGCTCAATTGCTGTGCCACCAGGGGAGGCCCTAAAGATTTATTTATTTATTTATGTATACAAGGACTGGGGTACAGGCCAGAGGTGTGGGGGGTGAGAGGATTCACCAGAGACAGTGTGGGGAACAGAACAGCTGCCTGACTGAAATACACTGCTGAGGGGAGAAGCGGGCAAGCCAAGAGAGGTCTGCCGCGTGATGTGGGTAGCTCCCTGGCCAGCCAGGGGATCGAACTTGTGCCACAGAGGCTGCAGACAGCTTCACAGCGCTGTGCTCAACCCCTTGTGCCACCAGGAAGACCCTGTCTTACAGGTTTTGAAAGAATGGAAAAGTAATATCAAGGACAGTGTCACTCAGAAGAATTAAATGGTCCTACGTGGTGGTAGCCAAAACTTCAATTTGAAGTGATAAATTACTAAAACACTTTGTTTTCTTCTGAAATCTGAACTCTGCACCTATTGCAGGGATTTGTTTTCAACAGTAGCCATTTGAGATTGGTTGTTCTCACATAGTAATATGCATTTAGGATCTGTCATGGTTTTCATGGCTGGTTGGTGCATATCTTTTTGTGCTGAATAATGAACCACTGTCTGGATGTAGCACAGTTGGTTTCTCTGCCACCAACTGGTTGCTTCCAAGATTGGGCAGTTATGAAGGAAGCTGCTAAAATCATCCAAGTGCAGACTTTGTGTGGGGATATTGCTTCAATTCATTAAGTAAATATCAAGGAGCACAACTGCTGGGCTATATGGTTAGAGTCTGTTTACTCCATATACAAACATAAACCTGTATACTCCACACTTCAATACTTGAGTTTAGTCTATACACACACACACGTATATATCCATGCTTAGTCTCTACAACGACACACCACTACGAGAAGACAAGGACATGGCAGGGGTCTGAGGGAGAAGCCCAGAGAACACTGGAGAGAGGCCAGAAAGAAAGCTCAGGAGTGCTCAGGCTATATACATACAGAATTCTGTGTACAGACGTGGATGCTGTTATTATTTTGAACAAACTTATCTGCTAGGTCAGTTCAAGGAGCTTCTATTTCCACCTTCAACTACTCATCCTCTGTAAATTCTCCTCCTTTCTTGGTGGAGACATGGGTTTCTGACTGTGTCATTATCCTTCTCCTTGAAGAGTTTCTTTGAACATTTTGTGGGAGGCAGATAGATGCACAACAACTTTCCTCCATTTTTGTTTGTCTGAGAAAACCTTTTATTTCTCCTTTACCTTGAGAAGAATTGTTCAGAGTATTTTCCTCTTACCACTTGAAATATTTCATGCCATTCTCTTCTTCCTTTCATAGTTTTTAGGGACATCAGATAAAATTCTTGTCTTTGTTCTTCTGTAAGGAAGTAAGTTGCTTTTTCTTCTGATTTCTTTCAAAAGTTCATCTCTGATTTTCTAAAGATTGAAAGTATATCTGCCAGTTGTGTAAGCATAGGATTTTTGTTTCTTTGGTTTCATTTTTGTTTTGTTTTTTATCCTGGGCGATGTTCTCTGAGTTGATTGGGTCTGTGGCTTGGTGTCTGACAATAATTTGGAGGAAGTTTTCAGTCATTATAGCTTCAATCATTTTTTTTTTTGTTCTTTCTTTATTCTCCATCGGAGAATGCCATCGTGAATGATACATGCTGGTGTTTGCCCCCCAGTCATTGCAAGCCAATCTACTTTTCTGTTTTCCAATTCTCTCTTTCTCTTTGTGTTTCAGTTTTAAAATTTCCCATTGTCATGTTTTCAAGCTCAGGGATCCGAGTTGTTTTAAATTCCAGGGTTTCATAATTGTAGCATTTCTGAGACATCTGAGGCTGGTTCTGATGCTTACACTGTCTCATCAAGCTGCGTTATATTGCCTTCTAGGGAGTCTTTTTACTTGGTAGGTAGTTTTTCTCGGTAGTCAGACAGGACACACAGGGTAAAGGGCCCAGAAAAGAAGCCCTTGATAGTGTCGTGGTGAGGTGTGGGTGAGGGGAGGCATCCTGTATTCCTGTGAGCCTGGGCCTGTGCACTGTGGACTTTACCAGAGCTGCTCAGCCCCCACCCTCAGGTGGGGCAGGATGGCTACAGGGGCTGGAGATGTATACTTCACTTCCCCAGCTGGGTTAGGTTTTGTTTTTTTTTTTAAAGATTTATTTATTTTATACAAGAACTGAGGTATAGGTCAGAAGCATAGGAGGGTGAGAGAATTCACCAGAGCCAGAGCAGGGAACAGAACAGGCAGGCGGACCCAAGACACAGCTAAGGGGAGCAGCAGGCTAGGCAAGAGAGGTCTGCTGCGCCACGTGGGGGTCTCCCTGGCCAGTGGGAATTGAACCAGCGCTGCAAAGGCTGCGGATGGCTTCTCAGTGCGGCGCTCAACTGCTGCGCCACTGGGGAGTCCCCTGGGTTAGGTTTTGATTGACCTCCAGTGGGTGAAGTTCTGGTTAACTAGTTTCCCTGAGTGTAGGACTTGGTAAGAGGAACAGAGTACCCTGGTATTTCAAAGTCAGTTCTTTCCCCCTCCTCTTGCCAGAAGCACAAGCAACCATTCTCCACTCTTTAATGTGAAGTCCTGGTGGAGTCCTTTGAGATGAAATTCACAAAACATGGAGCACCCAGTGACTGGGTTACTCTAGAGTTTTTGACCTACACACTCATCCATGCTGCATGTCCTGTAATTCATCAATGACAGGTTTTGCAAACCCAGCACTGGTTCCTTCGGAGGATTTTGCTTGTGAGTTACTGTTCTAGTAGCTGTCATTCTCTCCAGCAGCCTGTTTTCCTCTAGTTATGGGGCAGTGGTTTATCCTGTGACCTCACTTACCTGGTGGACCCAAGGAGAGTGGCTGATTCCTCAGTTTGTTCAGGTTCTCATTATGGTGGAACAGTGTCTTCTAAGCTCCTTATATGCTAGGCCAGAAACGAGAAATCTGGTTATGTGTCTACTGTATAAATAATATCTGAATGCATTCATTTTGTAAAAGACTCAAGGAATATTTACACAGAGGAAGATAAAATACAAAAATCTTCTTTTACCCACATCCCTGTTTTCACTTCCCTTCCCTTTTGTATTTTGTCTTTCCCTGTTTAAAGAGGTGCTGTGGTAGGGGCTATTAAGGAACAGAGAGAAGACTGATCCAGATGAAGGGAACAGCATATAATGTGAAGGCCTTTCAGGGAAATGAGAGAGGACAAGTGTGCATGTAGCAGAGGTGTGGGGCAAGGTGGGAGGAAGACATGCTGGGACATCCTTTAAAAGTATAAAAATGTCTTCTTTAGTGTCTGTATATAAATATAAAAGGCTTCTCAACCTCATGAATAATCAGCAACCTGAAAACAATAACTCAGTGAGCTATCACATTACTGCCATTAAATCAGCAAAAAAGTTTTAAAATTTGAATAAGCTCCACAACAAGCTAAAGTGTGGGTGTACTTTCAAACCTTCCCAAGTCCTGGCACCATACTGGAGAGCATTATGGCAGCGACTGGAACATTAACATGAATCGTCCCTCACTAAAATTCCACTCTGAGAAGACTTGTGGGAGTGCTCCAATGTGCAGAGAGAGACATACACACAGGATGCTTATAGCAGCTCAGTGGAGAAAAGTGTGTTCACCAATAGGAACATATTTAAATGAAATGGAACAAGAATTATATATAACAAATTATTGCAAGAAATATCATTACAGTTATCAAAATTATAAGATTAAGAGTACCAAAAAAAAAAAACCAACCTAAAACAGAAAAAAGCACGTTGTATAATAACATTAGCCAAGATACACTGCAGACATCAGACCCAGCTATGCACGCACACTAGGCTTGCATGTGCCCAGGAAGGCACTAAGGTTCCCCATGCAAATGGTGACATGAAAATACCTGCAAAGCCTTAGACAGTCTGCGTGACATGTAAGTGCTATCTACGAGTAGACTATTTTTATTTACATATCTGTATATTTTCTTCTGATAATGCACCCCTGCTGACTTATGCAACCTAGAAGTAAAGAATTTGGTTGCTACTGCAATGTATACTCCCTGCACCCAACTGCCCACCCAGAACAAGGCCAACTATTCATCCCTCTGTCAGAGGGCCCAGAGCAGCCTCACACCAAAAGGGCGCGCAGGACCATCTATCAAAGGACCCTCTCACCCTTCTCAGTCCCAGAGGTAAGTTCCTGCAGCCCCCACACCCCAAGCTCAGGTCCCTGCCTTCTCTCTCAACCTGCAGATGCTCAGGTTAGAGACCTCAGGGGCTGCACAGCGGAGGCTGCCCCGCCTGCTGCAGGCTCCATGACATCACGCGCCGCTCGGAAAGGACGTGCCCCCCAGTCCCCCCTCCCCACCCATCTTTAGGGAGGGGCCCTAGGCGCTGACCCGGGGAAGGCGGTGGAGCGGCCGGTTCTGGTGGGGATGGTACCGGGGAGCTGGTCTGAGCTGAAACCCCGGGCGCTGGGAAGGTGGGAAGGTGGGATGGGCTGCGTGGGTTTGGGCTGAGGCTGGGGCGGGGCTGGCTTCTGCCCACCCTTGGCGACCTTCTCTGGGGGCTCCGGGCCCCCCCCTTTCAACGGTCCCAGTGGCCCAGTGTAGGGGGCGGGGCGGGAGCCAGACCCTGGGGCGGCAGTTTGAGCTCTGGGGAGCTGAGCCCCCGGGTGCTGTCTGGGCGCGGGGAGGGACCCCGGGAGGGCGCAGGGGAAGGAGCTTGGTCATCGGACTCCAGAGTTGGAGCTGAAGGTCAAACGGTGGTGGGAATAGACGGGACAGGTCAGTCCAGGGACTTTCTAGGGACTCTGGTCCATGGGTCTGTGCGGGAGGTAATAGGGGAAAGAGTTACACTGCGTTGGAGATTGTCTGTTCTTCTCAGGCGGCTATGACTGTTCTCAGGCGGTGAAATCGTCATTCCTTTGTCTACCACCCTTTTCTCACTTGTAGAGGAGTTTTTTTGGAAAAACTGGCCACTCCAGGTAGGTAAGATGATATGCAACCAAGTGTCAGTCTTGGAGAATGTTCATCATTTGACTATTGACTGGTCTTCCCTGTAGTAATAGAAGTTTCTGCGTTTTCTCTGTTCAGTACTGTAACCAGAAATCACATGTGAGTATTAGGCAGTTGAAAAGTGATTAGTGCAGCTTTTCCTTTCATTTAATTTAGGGATTTATTAACCAGACTGGTGGTCTGGTCTGGACAGCTCAGACTAATGACACGGATAGTGTAGTGAACAAACAGCAAACTCCCTGTGAAGTGATTTTCTGTTTTCTTCCAGTAGCTTTTAGAAATTAATATTGTTGATTACTGGCTGGGGTGAGAATGGTGTCGACCATTGCTAGATGTGTTAGGTCTTTTTGAAAACTGGTGGAAGAAACAAATATGTGTTACTGTTCAATATCAGGTTAATTGTAGTGACTAAGATAAGAACTACTAAAATTGAATTATTTAATAATTTTCTATTGCATATTGTTTCCTTTTTGAAAAGTCTGTTTGACAGTGTAACTTCTTGTACATAAAATGACCATGAGTGAGAGCAGAGAAATGTTCTCATCCATGTAATATTTCCTAAGGTGGGAAAGAGTGACATTTGTGATTTTTGTTAATTGACTAGAAAACATCTTAATTTTTTAGGGGTTTTTTGTGCAATAAGATGTGTGCCTACTGGAATCTATTGAGAACAATCAACAGTGAATTCAGACTAGAGTTCTTAGTTTTAAATGAACTATATTTAAGAGAGGTAAGCAAATTTTCAATCATTTTAAAGAGTTTGTTTTTGCTCCTGAGTCATCTTACGTTTAAGATTTGCAAAATCTTGTTGAGTACCCCAGAAAGAAAATAAATGTGTGTTGGTGATTAATACATATGTAGTTTTCAAGTTATTAGTGCATTGGCTTGAAAGTTTACATACAGATTTGTCATTTTTTCTTGTTACCCCATTCTGAATTTGTATGTATATGTATTAGTGAAGAGATATTGCTTTTTTCCAATGATACTGGATTTTTTTGTATTTCATGTATTTAATAATTTGAGATGTATAATACAATTTAAGACATAATATATTTTTCAATGGGAGTAAAGGAGGTAAGAAATAGAGGGGATCTTGTTCAGCTTACACATTAGAGAAATTGCAGTTCAGTCTTTTGGCATACTGTGCGTAACTAATTAGTATAAAAATGAATGAAATAAGATCAATGAATGAAATATATAGACTGGTGAAGGATCATCACCTTCTGTCTAATGTTTGAAAATAACTTTATTGTGTTTCTAAATACCTCTTGGAAATACTTTGCAATAATAAACTATTCCAAAAGAATTGCCTCTTAACCAGCTGACAAGTTAGTTGATATCTGAAATCTTCCATGAATGCTTAGTGTGTTTAGTTACATAAATATAAAAGCTTTGTCCTAGTAATGTACAGCAGATAAGATCCGACATGGATAATTTCGTTAAGGTATCTTATGCCTATTGACAAGAAAACAATACATACTTTTGTGGAACTACAGTAGAAAGCGACCTACTATTCCATTGAGCACTTTTCTTTGCCATGTTCCAAGAAGGATTAAAGTGGCTTATCAGCCATACAGAAAATGCAGTGAGATGTGCAAAAGTCTTTAAGATTGTGAGACCTGGTTTGCAAATAATGTCACTCATTCATGGTCATGGGAAGCAGTATTGCAGGTAATTACATTTTATGTGCAGGTTTTCAAAATGTTGATTTCATTTCTTGTTTTCTTTTGAATTCAGCCTGAAGTTCCTGCTTACCATGTAATTTCAGAAGGAATTCTAATACTCTGGATAATCAGATATTTCTCGAAAACTTCCAAGTTACAGGAGGGATCTGCTCTTACAGTCAAGGTAAGGTGGGAGTGCATATTACTGGCTTCTATTTACTTTGCTGGGTTCAACAGCATTCTTACAAAGATATTGGAGAGGCACCATGGACAGCTCCTGGATTCTGAATGTCACATGCAGCATTCCTTGAGTTTCTTGAGAAAGAAGAGCTGTTTTGAAGCCTAATCAAAAGTTTTCTCTGTGGTCATCATAAAAGTAATTCTGAGTTGGAAAGCCTTGCCCTCCCACCCCTAATGGGGTGTTGATGTGTCGCGCAATTTAGGGATCCAACTCAGATCCTGCTAGGTGAACCCTTAGGAAAGAAGAATGTCGAGATGAATTGTGACCTTCATGGAGTTCCTTAGTATGGGACACTAAGGTAAATGATGGAAAAGAAACTCTTTTTTCCTCTCACATTAGGAGTACTTAGTCACTACCCAGGGGAGAGAGGGGAAGAGCAGATTTGACTGCAGCGTTGCTTCTGTCCATCAGGTTGTTTACAGCCCCCTCCCCCCCGCCCCCATAGCCTTGTGCCAGAATTCTTAGGAGATGGGAACTGTGAGGAACGCTTTCCAAAACAAATTTCTTAAACTTTGGCTGCCAAGGCAGCATTGACTAGGGTGTAAAGATGGAACACTGGGTTTTTCATTATTCCTGGAACCCTCACAGAAGAAAGTGGGAGAGAAGCAGAATTCCAGGGAAGGAAATGTTGCCACATTTTGACATTTATTAGAAATGTTGTTTCCGTGATTTTACTGACTCGCCACTATTGTCCTTAGAGTTAATATGAGTTATGAGATGGTTAAGCGCGGTCCCCTAGGGCACCTGGAACAGATGGTCTTTTAAAAAAAATATTTATTTATTTATACAAGCACTGGGTACAGTCAGAAGCATGGGAGGGTGAGAAAATTCACCAGAGCCAGAGCGGGGAACAGAACAGGCAGAGACTGATGAAATACACTGCTGAGGGGAGCAGCAAGTGCGGCAGGAGAGGTCTTTCGCACCATGTGGGACCCTTACCAGTGACCGGGGATCGAACCTGCGCTGCAGAGACTATGGGCAGCCCAGCGCTCAACCTCTGTGCCACCAGGGGAGGTGCAACAGATGGTTCTTAATGCAGTTAAGTTTTGGAAATCTGGGTGCAGATGAGTAAAGTGTCATTATATTGCAAGTTTTTCTTCATTTTTGATTTTTTTAAAGGTTTTTTTTATTTATACAAGAACCAGGGTACAGGCCAGATGCACAGGAGGGTGAGAGGATTCACCAGAGAAAGAGCAGGTAACAGAACAGGCAGCTTTACTGAAATACACAGCTAAGGGGAGCAGCAAGCGAGGTAAGAGAGGTCTGCTGCGTCATGCTCCCTGTCTGGAATTGAAATGAGACCATAGCAGAGAAAGGGTGATTGCACTGAGATTTAACCCATAGGCCACAGGGAGGCCTAAGAAATTTCCTTACAAAGTCCCTTTATGGTGACTATTAGAAAATAATCTTTTAAGTATTTCAGCTATTTCTGAATTCTGGCTGATCAGTGTCTTATAGAAACAGAGCTTATTGCTTAACTGGACCCCTTCCCATAAGGGTCACATCTATGTGCAGTGACATGACTGGGATAGAGACTGAGCCAATTTAAAATCATTCTACTGAACATGGTCTTGTAGAGTTTTTATTTTACCATCAGTAGCAGTTTTACTTTTCCTTCCACACTGAAAAGTCCTGAGCATAGATGTGAACTTTCCTGGTCACCCACAAAACTCCATGGAAAATTAGCCTTTAGCCATTGTGATGAGGAAATAGGTGAGGGACTTGATGCTCAAAACCCAGTAGTGAATCTCTTTCTATTTTCATTACAACAGCTAGACCTCAATTCCTAGATGTTGCTTACTGTGTGGGCTCCACAACAACAAGCCACTTTATTTTCTCTCCCATGGGCCACATCTTGGAGAGACAGAAACAGTTTAAGTTGTAACTGCATAGCACTCAGCCCCCCAGCACCTTGCAGTAGGACTACAACCCTGGCCACAGCTCCTCACAGAGCACAGAACCCTGGGGCAAAAATACTGTTCTATTTTTTTCCCCGTTTCCTTTACCCTCTCTCCTCTCACATTTGTTTTTCCCCTTTTTTTTCTGAGGCACCACCTCATGAGAGCGCAGACTCTGGAAAGAACATTACACTCAGCCTACAGCACCCCACAGTGGATCAGGCTAAAATAGCCGCCACTTACTTCTTGGTGCCGACAGTATTGGGCGCAATCTTTTTTTTCCTCTTTTTTTTCCTCTCATTTTCAATTTTTTTCCTCTCTTTCTGTCCACCTTTTCCTCTTCTCTATTTTTTATTCATTCTTTTTTTCTTTCTTTTTTCTCCCCTTTTTTTCCTTAATTTGCTTTTTTGAGTGACAAACTAGAGAGACCTAGCAGTTCAGTGCAGAAGTACATCCTACTCAACGTACTCAACCTGCAGGCACTGCCCAGCAGATTGGGCCAAAGCTTGTACCTGGCAATACAGCACTTCACAGAGGACCGATGGCTACCCCAGGCTGATGCTTTGTTTCTCACTGTATGTAGTGGGGATTGGCAGGCAGGGGCACCTGTGGCAAATCACAGCTTACATCAGCATCTGGCAGAGTAGTCACTTGCTCAGTGGGAGCTGTGAGAAACTCCCACCCTCAAACCCCACCTGCTCCAGTGTTCACTGACACGCTGTAGGAGAGCCTGGAAGTGTAGCCAGGTGGGAACTGCAGAAATCCCTCCCCTTCAATTCCTGTGCCCCCAATGCCATGGGAGTAGTGACTAGAAGTCCTGACTGCCGTCTGATATCCTGAGGAAGGGAAATATAAGAATCATAAAAATCTCAAACAGTGGAGAGAGAGACAGAGGAACTGAGAGACTACTCAAGGAAATAAAATGGAAGAGAACTTCCCAAATATGAAGAAGGAAATGAAAATACACATACAGGAAGTTAAAGTACACCAGATTATGATAATGAAAGGAAAGCTACAGCAAGACACACAATAGCAAAGCTCCAAGAGTCCAAGACAAAAAAGAAGAACCTGGGGACAAATACAATAACTTAAAAAGGAAAACCAATTAGGCTGGCAGACTTCTCTGAAGAAACACTATGGGCAAGAAGAGACTGGATTGATGTATTCAACAAACCCTAAGACAAAAAAAAAATGTTAACCAAGAATACTTTATCCTCCAAAGCTCTCCTTCCTTCCTCTATTAGGGAATAATAAGGAATTTAATGGATAAACAAAACCTTCAGAAACTTGCTGCTACTAAACCGCACTCCCAGAAATATTACAAGAAGCCTTAAAATCTAAATAATGGAGGATTCAGCAGGAAAAACAAAGCAAGGTAATGAACAAAACCACAAAATAATGAAAAAATGGCCATTGCAGACTAAATGTAAATGGACTTCACTCACCACTAAAAAGACAGAATAGCAGACTGGACAAGAAAAGGAGAATCCAAACTTCTGCTATTTCCAGGAATCATACTAAGCTTAATGATGAACATAGATTGAAAGTAAAGCATTGGAAAACAATTCTACAAGCAAATGGCACCCAAATGAAGATAAGGACCGCCATTCTTATATCAGATAAAATAGACTTCAAAGTGAAAAGGTAGGAGACATATCTGGTCACTAGATAATGGTCAAGGGTCAGTACACCAAGAAGACTTAATGTTCATCAATATATACTTACTAAATGATGGAAAAACAAAATACATTAGACTATTAACTATCATCTCTGAAAACAGACATTCACATATTACATATGTGATAGGATACTTTAACACCTGACTCTCACCATGGGACAGATAAATGAGACAAAATATAAACAAGGACACAATAGCCCTAAATAAAGATCTGAACCACAGGGGCCAAACAGACATTATAGTACACTGGATCCACAAAAATATGAATACACCTTTTTCTCAAGCAACACCTGGAACACTCTCCAGGATCAACCACTTATTGGGCAGAAGACAACAAGTGATGGAGACCAAACTCATACCAAGGATATTCTCTTTATGGCATAACAAGGATGCCATAAAGGCATCAAACTACAAATTAACCATGAAAAGAAAGAAAGAACACTCCCATTTCATGGAGATTGAATCCCACATTCCTGGAAAATCAGTGGATTAATTAGGAAATCAAAGAAGAAATTAAAAAATACCTTGAGATGAATGACAATGAGAACACAACTTTCAAGAATGTATGGGACACAAGGGCCTCCCCAGTGGCGCAGCAGTTGAGCGCTGGGTTGCGAAGCTGCTGCAGCCTCTGAAGCGCCGGTTTGATCCTCGGCTGCTCCCTGGACACCGGAGGAGGGTCCCACATGGCACACAGACCTCTCCTGCTGCCTGCTGCTCCCCTCAGCAGTGTACTTTGGTCCTTCTGCCTGCTCTGCTCCCAGCTCTGACTCTGGTGAATTCTCTCACCCTCCTGCACTTCTGACTGTACCCAGTGCTTGCATAAATAATTAAATAAATCTTTAAAAAAAAAGAATGTATGGGACACAGCAAAACCAGTAATAAGGGGGAAAGGGATATCAATACAACCCCATACCAAGTAACAAAAATGAACACAATGAAATAACCTAATCTCCCATCTCAAAGAACTAGAAAAAGTACAAGAAGAAGTCAGTAGAAGAATGGAAATAGCAAAAATCAAGCAGAAATAAATAGAAATGAAAACACAATCTAAAATATCAATGAAACAAAAAGATTGTTTTTTGGAAAAAGTAAATGAAGCAGACAAACCTGTATTCAGATTCAGAAAGAAGTAAAGGGAGAAAATTCAAATAAATAGGATCATAAATGAAAGAGGGTAAATTACAACAAACGCAGCAGAAATCCAGAAGATAATCAGAAATTGATATGAAAATTTATATGCAACAAGTTCCACAATCTAGAAGAAATGGACAAATTCCTAGAACTATACAATCATCCAAAGCTGGATAAAGAAGAAATAGGAAAACTAAACAAACCAGTTACAAGCAGCAAAATCAACAGCAATACAAACCCTCCTCCTCAAAAACAAAAAAAACCAGGACCAGATGGTTTGACAAATGAGTTCTAACAAACTTTCTTTTCTTTTTTTTAAGATTTATTCATGCATACAAGAACTGGGGTACAGGCCAGATGTGTGGGTGTGTGATAGGATTCAGCAGAGACAGAGCAGGGAATAGAACAGGCAAACTAACTGACATACACTACTAAGGGGAGCAGCAGGCAACAGGAGAGGTCTACCTTGCAATGTGGCTATTTCCTGGCCAGCTGGCCAGGATTGAACCGCACTGCAGAGGCTTGCAGACAGCTCCACAGTGCTATGCTCAACTGCCTGCACCACCAAGGAGGCCCTACTAAATTTTCAAAGATGAACTTATCCCTGCCCTACAAAAAGTCTTTCAAAATATTGACAAAGAAGGGCCTCCCCTGGTGGCGCAGGCAGTTGAGCGCCATGCTGTGAAACCATCCACAGCCTGTGCAGCACGGGTTTGATCCTGGCCGGCCAGCGAGGGCCCCACATGGCGCAGCAGACCTCTCCTGTCGCACCCGCTGCTCCCCTCAGCAGTGTATTTCATCAGTCTGCCTGTTCTGCTCCCCACTCTGTCTCTGGTGAATCCTCTCACCCTCCTGCACGTCTGGCTTGTACCCAGTTCTTGTATAAATAAATAAATAAATAAATCTTTGGGAAAAAAAAAAAAACCTCTTCCTCTTTCAAAAAAATTGACAAAGAAAAAATAATACTAAATTAATTTTATGAAGTCAACATTACACCAAACTGAAATCAAACAAAGATAATAACAATAACAAAAAGAAAACTGTAGAACAATCTCCCCACTGAGCAAAGATGGAAAAATGCTCAATAAAATCCTAGTAAACTGAATTCAGCAGTGCATCAGAAGGATAAAACATGTAATTCACCATATCAACAAAAATAAAAATAAAAACTGTATGCTTCTCTCAGTAGACACACAAAAAGCATTTGGCGAAGTTCAACATTCATTTATGATGAAGACCATTGAAATTCTTGGGATAAAAGCAACATATTTTAACATAGTAAAAGCCATATATGACAATACAACACCAGAGGGTATTCTCTATATTGAAAATGGAAAACATTTTCCTTTAAGGTTTTGAATAAGACAGGATGTCCACTGTCACCATCACATTTTAATATAATGCTGAATTCCTAGCTAGAGCAATTATTCAAGAGAAAGACATACAAGAATCCAAATAGGGAAAGAGGTAAAACTATCACTATTTGCAGGTGATATGATAAAGATAATATAGAGAGAGAACCCTAAAATCTCTACAGAAAAACTTAAAACAGTTTAGTAAAGTAGCGGGTTACAAAATCAACAGAAAAATCAGTAGCCTTCTAATATACAAAGTAGCAGATTACAAAATCAACACAAAGGTCAGTAGCCTTCTTGTGTACAATGAGTCTGAAGAAGAAGAAATTAAGAAAACCATCCCATTCAAAATTGTACCCCAAAATATTAAAAAATTAATATTTTTAATATTAATAAACTTAAAAAAGAATAAACTTAAAAAAGTGAACCATGTATACAAACAAAATTATAAAACTTTGTACCCAGTTGTTGTATAAATAAATAAATTAATTAATCTTAAAAAAAAACCCTCTTCCTCTTTCAAAAAAAAATTGACAAAGAAATAATAATACTAAATAAATTTTATGAAGTCAACATTACACCAAACTGAAATCAAACAAAGATAATAACAATAACAAAAAGAAAACTGTAGAACAATCTCCCCACTGAGCAAAGATGGAAAAATGCTCTATAAAATCCTAGTGAACTGAATCCAACAGTGCATCAGAAGGTGGCGCAGCGGTTGAGCGCTGGGTTGCGAAGCTGCCCACAGCCTCTGCAGCGCCGGTTCAATCCCCGCTGCTCTCCGGCCACCAGAGGAGGGTCCCGCATGGCGCACAGACCTCTCCTGCTGCCCGCTGCTTCCCTCAGCTGTGTACTTCGGTCCTTCTGCCTGCTCTGCTCTCCGCTCTGGCTCTGGTGAATTCTCCCACCCTCCCGGGCTTCTGACTGTACCCAGTGCTTGTATAAATAAATCTTAAAAAAAAAAACAACCTAAAAAGAAGGATAAAACACCATGTAATTCACCATATCAACAAAAATAAAAATAAAAACTATATGCTTCTCTCAATAGACACACACAATGAGTCTGAAGAAGAAGAAATTAAGAAAACCATCCCATTCAAAATTGTACCCCGAAATATTAAAAATATTGATATTTTTAATATTAATTAAAATATTAATTAAAATATTAATAAATTTAAAAGAGAATAAACTTAAAAAAGAAAGTGAACCACCTATACAAACAAAATTATAAAACTTTGTTGAAAGAAACAGAATACACAATGAATGGAATATTCCCTGTTGGGTTTGAAGAATTCACATTATCAAAATGGCCATCTACTGAAAGCAATTTACAGATTCAACACAATTGCAATGACATTCTTCCAAGAAATAGAGCAAATATTCCTGGAATTCATATGCAATCACAAAAACGTCAAAATAGCAAAAGCTCTTCTGATTAAAAAATAGGGGAATGTAGGTATCACACTCCCAGACTTCAATCTGTATTACGAAGCTATAATAATTAAAAATGCATGGTACAGACTGAACAATGGAAATGAATTGAATATGAGGAAGTAGGGCCTCGCCTGTGGCGCAGCGGTTGAGCTCTGGGCTGCGAAGCTGCCCACAGCCTCTGCAATGCTGGTTCAATCCCCGGCCACCAGCAAGGGTCCCACATGTCGCGCAGACCTCTCCTGCTGCGCCAGCTGCTCCTCTCAGCAGTGTACTTCGTCAGTCTGCCTATTCTGCTCCCTGCTCTGGCTCTGGTGAATTCTCTCACCCTCCCGTGCTTTTGACTGTACCTAGTGCTTGCATAAATAAATAAATAAATAAATAAATAAATACATAAATAAATAAATAAATAAATAAATAAATAAATAAATCTTTAAAAAAAGAAAATGAGGAAGCAAAGCCACAGATCTATGGTTAAAAATCTATGACTAAGCAACAAAGAATATGCAATGAAACAAAGACAGTCTCTTCAATAAATGATGCTGGGAAAATTACTACATGCAAAAGAATGAAACTAGTTGACTACCTCACACCATACACAAAAAACAACTCAAAATGGATAAACGACTTGAATATAAGACCAGAACCACAAAATGTGTAGAAAAAACACAGATAAAATTCTCCATGACATACATATCAGAAACATCTCTGAGGACTCATCTCCAGAAGTAAAGAAAATGAAGGAAAGATAAACAGCTGGGAATACATCAAACTAAAAAGCTTCTGTACAGCAAAAGAGACAATAACCAAAACACAGAGACACCTTACTGATTGGGAGAAAATATGTGCACTCCATACAAGTATGATTTGGAATGTCCTGTTGACCTTTGTCCCGGGTTGTCTGATTAGTCCCCTTTGGAATTTGTTGCCCTTATCTCTGGAGCCTTCCTTAACTCTCCTGAAGTCCCAGCACTGTCCTTGAGGCTGCCTATTTATCCCTAACTTGCCCTAGGAGTCAATACCAAACAGGAATAATCTACTTTTGGATAGCAGGGGAAATCTATACACCCCCACCCCTAAATTCTCTTCATCTATTTCTATTAGATAAGGAAAATCAAGAGGTGGGTTTCTCTAGGATACTGTAGTCCAAATTCTTTTTATTGTTTGGAAGTCCTAACACTCACCACAGTCAAATGATTTTTTTCCTCTTTGGGGAAAAAAAGGAAGTAACATGCCTATAATTAAATGTTTTCAGTTAAGTTCAAGATGTGACTGTCTTTTTCAGAATTCCTGAGGAATTCTTTGACCAAAATGTGTACTGACTGACTGTTTTTGTTCAAACAGGAACATCGATTGTACCTCGTTGAATTCCACTGAAATGATAGCAAAGAATGATGGCTAAATGCTACAATTGGAAATCATTTCTGCTTCTCGAGAGGTTGAAAAGAGCTTCTATTTCTCATTTTTCCAAATAGTGTGGATGTGAGCAAAACCTTTTGTATCATAACCAATCCAAAGTTTGTTGGGTGATGGAAGCCCAAATTTGTTCTGATATACTATGAAAAATAATCTCATGTGAAAAGAATAAAACCAATGTTGTAATATATTATGTCCAACATTACTTTAAATAAAAAAATTTAACTGAAAATATATATAAATATTTTTATTGAAATAGTGTGACACTTGGTTCTAAAGTTTCTGCATATCATATGGCTAACACACGACATCCCTGAGAGAGAAAAACACTGGACATAACCCAAAGAAAGTATGTTATTTTGGGGGAAAAAAGATAGGTAGGTTATAGAAATTCTGGCCTACACATAGCTTTGCTTTCTTTCTTGTCTTTCTGTGCCCTGAACCTGTCTCCTCTCTTGGACATAAGGTTCTCTAAGGTCACATTTAGGTGCCAAAAACATGTAGTGCACACCAGCTTGTGTGATTCTAGCAAACAAACTGTGTTAGATTATTTTAATCTAATATTTTGCTCCATTATCTATTTATAGTAAATGATGTATTAGCTTTCTAGGCAGGAATACCTAGAAATACATGGAAAATCAGAGAAACTGGCCTGTAATCAATATGGTCCAATGCATTTGGTGAATTGCTGTCATGATAGCCCACCACTTATCTAGAATATAATCTTTTCATATTTAAGCTTTTCAAACTGGACCAAAATGAGCCTGCTAGGCTCAATTAGAGAAATATGGAATGGTGTAACATTGACAATCGTGGTTTTTTTTTTTTATTTTAAGATTAATTTATTTTTGCATACAAGAACTGAGGTACAGGCCAGAGGTGTGGAGGGTGAGAGGATTCACCAGAGACAGAATGGGGAGCCGAACAGGCAGACTGACAGCCCCAGCAAATGTTATGGGCCTAGACTCTCCTGCAGTAGCCCAGCCATCCGTTGGCTACCCAAAGAAACAGGACTCTATGGGTTTGACATTGTCAGATTCCACAGCTGGCTCCAAGCTGTGTAAACGCCAAGCAGACTTTGATTACCAATCTAATTGTCTCCACTGGCACAGCCACTATCACTAATTCTGGAATCGCTACTAGTGTTTCTAACACTGGAGACAATAGCTTACACTATGCCACCATGAGCCCAGACCCACTTGGGGTGATGGGACATGTGACCCCTGTGCCCAGTGGGAGCTCTGGGGATAGTATATCCAACACATGCCCCACTCCTTCTCCGACATCGAGAATGCCCAACTGTAGAGAAAGAAAAAGAAGGGCCTCCAGCCCGCCTCCAGCTCCTTCTCGTATTGCTCAGGATCCATCTCACTTGAGTCCAACACCTGTGGTAGGACAACACAGAGATGTGTCTGCATTGGCTTTGGGGCCTCCTTAAATCCGAGCATCTGGGGTCCAACTGTGATGCAAAACACAAGTATCATGACAGGAAATAACAACCCCGTTCCTATAGCTGGAAAAACATCACCACAGACATGTCTGCTTCTACTTATGATTGGTACACGTGGAATTCTATTTACCTAAACATGAGTGGCACACCAGGAAATGACAGCACTTTTCCCATGTTTGGAGACCCAAGTGATCCCAATTTCCATAAGAACATCTTGGGCCCTGCTGGACAAAGAATGTCTCCTACACCTGGAGCAACTCTCACCACAAACAAAACATATGGGACAAGAGGCAAATCTGCTAACAACTCTGATTATTACAACTGGGGCTTACCTAGCTTTACTGTACCCACTGTGGTCTCAAATGCCAGCCCCACTCCAAAGCATAAACACACTGATACTTGCACGTATGTCCCCCACACATGGAACCCATCTTTCCAATTCTCTGATTGGGGACAACAGTACTCCCACAATTGCAAATTAGGTGTTCCTAATTTCCATCAGTGGGGCCCACCTGAACCAAATACAGCTAATACAACTGGAGGAAATAACATCTCAGCTGTCGTGGGTGGCCCCTATGTCACCACCTGTCATCAGAATACTGGGTACCAACCTATCCAAGCCACAGGTAATACTGTGGGGCATAGCTCCACATCTGTTGTGACTGGATATGCTTATGGCTCACCATTTGTACAAAGCCCCTGGGACCCTGCAGGTCAAGGGACAAGTGGTGGGACAGGGTGTGGTGGCAGGGGATTTTAGGAAAAATCCTCCCAAAACACTTGGACCACTTGTGACCATGGCGAGGCCACCAGTGTTTGGAGGTACCTGCTCAGAGCAACTCTGCCGGTTTTCTGAATGTAACTGATGGCATCCTTGCCTGTGAATCACTCCCTTAAGCCCCCTATAACTTTGTAGAAACTACCCAACAAGTATATAATGATCTCAGCAAGTAAGGAGTAAATCATCCTCTGCAAACTTTTGAGATATGAATGGACTGCTCAGTTCCTTAAGAGAAAAATCTACTGTCTTCCTACAAGCAAGCCAGAGGAAAAACCAATCACATATCAGGAGTACATGTCAAACATCTCTTCCTTGACTGATCCAAGCTATGGACCTTTCATTTCTAGTCTTGAAACTGGCATCTCTATTTATAGATGCTTCCTTTCCTCCTGCTACTTCCTTTCCTTATCAATGCAGATATCGATATATACAAATACATATTAAAATTTGTTTTATTAATCTGCCTCTACTCATAGGTCTTAACACTTCAATTCAGCTACAGAGGGACATTTGACACATATGAGTGGTGACATGTTGAGCCAGACTCAACTATGCAAAATGTCTTGTGCTCCAGTGACTGGGATGTGGAAATAGCCACACTCTAGGACTACCTTGGCTGAGTTCTGAGATCTCTGTGTTTTGCAGGAAAGGGATGCCAGCCCAGGAGGAAGTGAGAGCCACGGAAAGGAGAGAATGGGTGGCTCATCCTTGCCCCTTCCCTCTGAGTTTCTGTTTTCTCTCTACCACTCTGATGGCACTGGTGGCTAGATAATCCCTAATGTGTGACAGGAAGCCTCACTTTGTGATTTTAGTTTTTACGAAAGTATAATGTCTTTTTTGAGTCTTTAAATCTTAGACCATCCTCACACATTGCCCTCCAGCCAGAGAGGAAGGATTTGGCATCAAGTTTCTTCTATCTGGAGGAACAAAGAAGAAAGAGATCATGCCTGCTGTATTAATGGAAATTTAAGATGACTTAGAATTTATCATTTTGCTTAAAAATATCAGAAAACATCCTCTTTAATAACCTAGTCCTAGTCTGAACCACTAAAACATCAAATCACAAGAGTTACAATTGCACTTAGTGCAGGCTGACCTCAGAGATCTATTGGGTCCCCACTAGATTTCATAAAGACACTGTGGAGCTTTCATTCTCGTTGCAGGAGAGAATAGAAGCAGCAAGCACATATAAATTATCTGACAGTTTATCCAGAAACAAATGCTATGGAGAATAAAGCAGTATATGGAGTATTGAGATTGTGGGCAAAGAAGTAAGGGTTTCAGTTTAAACAGACAGTAAAAGTTGACTGGGAGGTGGGATTTGAACATTCTAAAGAGAGGCAATTTAATTAGACATCTGAGGGGAAAGCAAGCATTCTTTATAATGGAAATAATCTCTGCAAAGGCCCCAAAAGTAATAGGCCTGGGATCTTCAGGGGGCAGTTAGTATAAATTAATGTGGCTGGACTAGAGTCAACAGTTGGCAAGAGGGAAGAGGAGGGGAGAAGATTGAGGAAAGGTGTTGAGTCCCCTGCACACCATTTATTGGTCGTGATTACAAACAGTTGATTCAACCCTCAAGTCTCTCAGTGAACTCAGTGCTTTTTCCATGACCCATTTAGCTCAAGATATTTGGAAGGATAAACTAATATAACATAGACAAGTGAATTATAAATGATTGTTGTACTACATATAGTGCTAGATGGATAGATTGTATGGAAGGATGGACAGATGGGGATGGGTGCAGGATGGATGGGTGGATTCACGGATGATAGAGAGAGAGAAATTAAGAGAGAGAGAGAGAGAGAGAGAGAGAGAGAGAGAGAGAGAGATGCATGGTGGGTGGAGATAAAACATATACACAAATACATATGCTTGATAAGTTCTTTAGGCAATGTGCTTTGATGACTTTCACCAGACAATTTAAATAGGGAACCCCATTTTAAAGAGAACATGAAAGTGCTTACTTTTATGAAGTAAATACGTGGAAAAATATGATAACTAAGGCTGAAAATGCACAGCACTGTGCCTAGTGCAACATTTATGAGATTAGTCCTGTGAAAAGAAAGAGCCATCACAAAGAGGACACCTCAGCCTGGACTCCTCAGGCAACCTGCCACTTGGTTCATTCAAAGTTGTTTTTATAGTTCCAGAGGATCAAAGTTGCTGTTCTCTGGCTGCACAGAATCGCCGGCTCTTTTCACTTCTCAGTAGCAGGGATGGAATCCAGTTTGCTTCTAATTGTCCCGGACCTGCCATATCTGACAATATCACCTGGAACCGATTTTTTTTACAATTTTTTTCAAGATTTACTTATTTAAACATACAAGAACTGGGGTACAGGCCAGAGGTGTGGGGGGTGAGAGGATTCACCAGAGACAGAGTGGGAAACAGAACAGGCGGATCGACTGAAATACACTGCTGAGGGGAACAGTGGGCGAGTCAGGAGGGTTCTGCTGTGCCATGTGGGTATCTCCCTAGCTAGGGATCAAACTCGCGCTGTCTTGGCTGCGAATAGCTTCCTAGGTTGTGTCTTAACCCCTGGTGCCACCAGGGAGGCCCTGGCACCAATTTTTTTAATTCATACTACTTGACCTTTTTTTAAAAAAAAAAGTTCTTTAAGTTAAAAAGACTAATTCTGATAAGGTAAATGTTGAACAAGTTTGTGAGAGATGTAAACAGCATTTTGAATTCCATGTTTTCATGCACTGACACAGTTGAAACTATTTCTAAATATTCTTTTGTGAAAATAATACACAAACATGATAACAATTTTAAAGAATGCTGAAATTCCACCCTCTCCAGAGATAGCTTTGTGCTACTTCGATGCTATCGCCCATAAATCTCAACATACTTTCCTGCTGTCTTAATTACATCTCCATTTTATTTATTTTTACCAATTTAAAAAATTATGCTTATTGATGTAACAATTTACAACACTTCCTGTATTTCATTGGTAAGGATAGATAGAGGCTCACACCTGAAAATA